AAGGCACTTGCGGAAAAGTGCAAAGGAAAAAAGAATTTCGGCAGAAAGCTTTTTAAAATTTTCGTTATTTAATTTAAGCGGATGATTTACTGTATTATGATTGGAAGTGATTGAAAACCCAAGGTCAATGTTGTTGCCAAAGTCTGGAAAAACCTTCAGATGTATGGCCATTTATTGAGGAACGTTCATAAACATTGTATCGTTGAATCTGTTCAACATTTGCTGGGATTGTTTTTTACCACAAAAGTTTACTAATACAACTCCAAAAGAATCGATCGGCCCAGTGAGCATTAGACGTTTTGTTGTGTCGTATCGCTGAGTATTGTTACGATTTGTGCCGTATTTTGACTCGCCCTACGGGCTCGTCAAAATCCAAAAAACGAATTGGCGCGTTTTCGTGTTGCTGTTTCTATTTTCTTCAATAAATGACGAAATTTTATCGTCGTCCAACTGCTTTTCTTCGTTCAATTTATCTGATAAAATTGGCTCAATATTCGCCAGCCATTCCGACTCTACGTCGTCAGAAAAATGATTCAGTTTGTCCGTCATTTTCTTTTTTGTAACTTCAATCCAACTTGTCGCTTGCGCGATGCGAGAAAACCTGTTTAACCGGTTCTCTGCAGTACAAATAGCGTGTGATATTTGTACTCGTCTTGAACGTTATTTGTACTCTATGGAGTGTAGCTGGATCATAATAGTAAATAATAAAACAGTGGCACGCTCTGATTGGCTACTGAAACTCCGAATGTCCTTTTCTATTAAATTTCTAACTCCGAATATTACATTTCTAGTGTTATGATTGGTTCACTTAACTTCAGTTATTAGCTTATTTTTCAAGTCATCTTATATGGAACAGTGAATTGCGCCAACTGTTGCAGAGGTGAAAAAAGGCTTCAAATATCCAAACGTTCAGGATTTTAGAAATTTAATAAAACAATTATTGCATTTGTGCTTGTTAGATATGATATTGGTTAAAGGCACCAACCATTTACCATAGCACCTCATTTCCTGCTTTTCCTCTCTACTCACATTTTCATTTTTTCCACTAATTTTTTAGAAGCAAAATGAACAAAGTAGGACCTGAGCAAAGCGACGGGTCCCGTGCACGTGGTCCCAAAATTTTTTGTGTTCCCTCTGATGGTGACTGTTGTGATGTCACGTGTGAGTGCGGCTCAATTTTATGCGAAGGCTGTGAATGTATTTGCGGCTGTTTGAAAGAGGTTTGGGAGTGCATATCTTGCTGTCTCTGTTTTTAGGTGTGGATACCAGATAAAGGTGCGTACTCGACACAAATATTCTTGGCTAATATAAGCTTGACCTGGTTTGTCTATGATTTTCTTCGCTATGAGCTTTCCTTTCTGGAATGTTTTTCTTTTTCTTAATCACGATAGGAAACTTAGAAATTTCCATCTAGTATTAAACTCTAAGTATGGCTTTCTTGTACCCCATTCACGCCAGAAAAACATGTTA